AAGTTGTGGGGGATGCGTCTTAAAGATAGATTGTAAAGGAAGTGTGTGAAGTCCTAAATTCATCCATGACTTCATTCTCCACATCCATGGGTAGCAGAATATTACAATGAATCCTGAAAACATAAACTGACCAAAGTTTGTACAGACAAAGAACTGAAGCGATCAGATGCACTCCTCAAAGTTCTTAAGAACAGGAGATCTATAGTAAACAGAAGACTGGGAACTTCCCACCTAAATTATTAATGAATCCTCTATGGTGCTTCTGATGCATTTCCCAGAGACCACTCATGGGAAAAACATCTAAGTACTTTATAAAATGTTGTGCTTTATTATTGCAAAACACTAATAAGTCATATGAACATATTCCATTCATAATACAGGAAGCTCTACCAGTAGCCCTGGACAAACAATGCTATCATATCAAGACATAACTGAATTCACTCAGAGGTTTAGTAGAGGACATCACTAGGACTTCACTGAAAGGTTTTCATCACATCCTGCTGACTTTTAGTATATAGTTAAGTGTCAAGACCTACTGTCTTAGATTCAAGCCTCCTACAGTAATAGGTTTCTTGCTACTAATTTGCTTTTTTCTCTCTAGACACAGGAACCAATGGTCCATTTTATTCAGTTGAGTCCAGACCCATGATAACAAACAATATAAACCTCCTTATAGAGGTGTGAGACTCTTTAGAAACCTGGTAATCCTAAACTAATCCTAAATAGAAATTCAACGTTTGTATCAAAGTTGTTCCAAACTTCCAAACTTAGTCTATATAAGACTAACACTATCCAAGGAAGGAGCATTTAACCTACATATTCATTAAAAAGAATGCCATATTTGTGACTTTATTTGTCCCTAACAAGTCCTACCTTTGTTTTCATATATCACATCACCTTGGCATTCTCTGTTGTCTAGAAAAGAAAGGAAGGAAGGAAGGAAGGAAGGAAGGAAGGAAGGAAGGAAGGAAGGAAGGAAGGAAGGAAGGAAAAGAGAGAGAGAGGAAGGGAGAAAGGGAGGGAAAGAAAAGATTTAAATCTCAACTATTGTTCTTACCTTTTTCTTCCAAGAACTGATTTGACTACTCTATCATTGAAAAATACATCCTTACTAGAGAACTGTCACACAATAAAGGGACTGAACAGGATTGTTAATCCCCTTTGTCCTATCAGTGTAAAAGCTTCAATTTACAAATTCTCCTAAAACCAGAAGTAACAGGGTGCTATAGTGAATATTCTAAAAACTTCTAAATACTGTACTGTCCCATCTGACCTTATTAATTTGATCATTGAGCATCAAGTGTAAGAGCAAAGAACTTATTTTCAAGAACTGTGGGGAACTGTATCACACAAAAATATACACCTGCACCTAGTTACTGCTACTGTTTTCATTTCTATGGCAAAGATACAGCAACAACACATTCCTTAAATGTTTCTAAATGCTGGGCCTGCTCTCCATGGCATGTAGCACTGAAAGAGAAATCTGTCATGACAGCATCTTTCACCTGAGGTGACAATCTTCCTTCTGTAGGGGAATATTTCCTTTCCTAAACATTTTGGCCACAATAGAGGTCAGAATTAATATTTGTAGAATTAGTAGTTTCCCACTTAGCCCCAAACAAAGGGGGAGTGCCTGACCTATACTTAGTGACTGTTGTCTCTGAATTTTTTTGTAATAGAAATGAAGAAATTGTTTTTGAAAACCAGCATTAGTAGCTATATCCAATATTGCAATAAAAATGTGATGTTTGCAGAGTGTATCACAATTTTGTTTCTCTATAGAACTTGAAGTTTTAAAAACTTTGCAATGCTTTAACCCCCAATGATCCACAAGGGAGTTTCATCCTCCTTGTGAAAGAGCTGAGGCAAAATGATCTCAGAGAACAACATACTCATCCTATGGGGTTACCTGCTCTATTGGAGAGGTCAAGAACCCAACCAAACTTTTAAAACAACAGAGAAATACCAGGACTGCTTCTCTAAACCTGGTCTCCACTGAGAGAGTGACTTGGAATTTCAACTTAGCCCTCAAAGGATGATTACTTTCATTCCTTGTAAGGAGCCCTCCAACTGTGTTTCTGTCCATTTAAAGTGTATCCATGATTTATCGAGCCCCATACAGAAGAAAGTTGGCAAGTTACACTGCATTGAGGATCAGAACCTATTTATATCAGCTGGTAGCCTTGTAGGGAATTAAGAAATACAAAATAAAATAAACAGGATAGTGTTCATTTACATGTAGAAGTACTGCTTATGAAATGCTACAAGCTAATGCAGCCCTAAAAGGATGTATCACAAACATGCTTACTGGGATGCTAAGTAGTGTGCTGCAATAAGATATTTAGGAAAGACTACACATATCCAAATTTAAGATGGAGTGTTGATTACAGTCAACAAAGAAAAGAATTGTGCATGCAAAACATTAGATGTCTCATGGTTCCCTTTGTAAAAATTCTCTGTGCCTTTTCCTTTCAACATTTTAAATTGTAATGTTCTTAGGCCAATTTTTCTCTCCCCTCTTGGTACTGTGTGATGATACCACAGTGCTAAGATTTGAAATTGCATGTACTCCTAAATGCTGGTGTAAGAAATCTCAGAAATATGGAAAGGATAAAATGTTCCTCTCCATACAGTTGCAGAAAAAATATGTATATTATTCTACCACATTCAGCTAGTTCTGATAAAATGGTGAATGGAAAATAACATCTAGAAGTGTTGATCTTGTACTCCTATGAAATATATGTTACAAAGTATAATCTGTTTTGTGTTAAGTTATTGAAACTGTCCTTCAAAGTGTTATTTGTATGAAGGGGTCTTTGGGGCACCTCCACTTTAGAGATTATTGCCCCGCTCTGAGAAATATAACCTGTTAGCACTCCAGATTTTCAATTCTGATTGTTTCTTTTTTGTTGTTGTTGTTTTTAAAGATTTTATTTTAAGTAATCTCTACAACCAGCACGGGGCTTAAACTCACAACCCCAGGATCCAGAGTCCCATGCTCTATCCCACTGAGCAAGACAGGCACCGCTAGTTTCTCCTTTTTTTTTTTTAATCTTTTTTTTATTATGTTATAATAATCACCATACATTACATCATTAGTTTTGGATGTAGTGATCCATGATTCATTGTTTGCATATAACACCCAGTGCTCCATTCAATATGTGCCCACTTTAATATCCATCACCAGGCTAACCCATTCCCCCACCCCCCCTCCCCTCTAGAACCCTCAGTTTGTTTCTCAGAGTCCATAATCTCTCA